GGCCTGGTCTGCCTCTCCACTTTCATCTACTACTGCTCACCTTCCAGACAATCAGCAGGTTTTATTTCACATGCCCACGCCTATCGCTTTGCTGTGGCTCCCTGAACAGAGGAGAAACCGGCTTTGCAGGAGGCAATGCTATGGTGTCACAGTGACATGTGTCAGAGTCACGCACACCATGCCTAGCGATCCCTGCCCCTCCCATGTCCTGTGCTTCAGTCACACACATTTCCTTCTCCCCCTGTCGCAGTATTTGCATGACACTATTCCCACTTGGAATGTGTGTCACCACCTGCCACCTTGAGTCCCCCTTCAAGGGTCATCTCCAATAGTGATTATGTTGGAAGCCTTTTCTTAACCTATTCCTAGCTTGCCAATCTTCCAGTTTTCTCAACCCTCATGGTCTACTTTTGGGCTGTCTCATTTTCTGTTGCCTCAACCCCAAATTTCTACAGCCAGGCTGGTGCCCTATTCATAAAGCTCTACTATCTGATGAACGTATCAAAATACCCCGAACTTATCAGATGTCTAATAGCTAATGACTTAAACAGAATCACGTAACACAGGTTCTCAGGACATCATGTCAAGACTACAGGCTTTTTATAGTTCAAAGCCATTTCAAAAATTCTTCATAGTTTAACAGAAACTCAATCAGTTCTTTAAAAAACAAATATGACATACTATATAGAGTAATGCTGATCACTAGCTAGCTGTGCACATTTCAAATGCTTCACAGTGTGCTTTTCTGATACCAAACTTTCAAAGGGAACAAAACTTGCTTCTTAGCAAGCGACACCCCCGACTGCCCACAGCGCCACTCCACCGACACACGTGGACACACCCCACTTAATTGCTTTAAAGAAGCCACATAAAAAAGTCCTTACCATGGTCAACATGAGCCAAAACACAGATATTCCTGATGTTAGCGGTGTTTTTCTGGAGCTGGATCGTCTTATCCAAACTACTGAGCACCATGCTCACTGGTTTCCTGGGACTAAACATTGGGTACGCGTTACAAATGGCACAAAGGCTAAGGGTCAAGGTATGTTTTTTTTTACTGCTGGGGGCTGACAAGGCTCCTCAGGTCCCTTCAACTAGGAGCCCCACGGGCGTTCACGGAAGGCGTGCACCGCCCAGGCCCAAGTCCATTGGGGGCGCTTGGCACCTGCCCCTTCACGACTGTCCTTGGGGGGCCTGCTCGTCCTTCCGGGGTCGGCCGGGACCGGGCACCCGTCTCCCGGCCAGAGGTGGCGAGGCGGCCGGCGCCTCCCGCCCGCCTCCCCGCAGGTGCACGGCCTAGGCCTGGGAGGTCTGGGGTCACGAGCTGTGAACCGGGCAGGTGCACCCAAGCGCTCAGCCCTTTCCACGTGAAACGCGAAAACCGCGCCCCCGCGCTCCCTTCCTCGGAGACCCGGGCAACCGGCAGCGACCCCCCCGTCCCCGCCGCTCGGAGCCGACGAGGACACCCGCCGCGGGGCCCGCACTCACCCCTCACCGCCCGCCGCTCGGAAGCCCGACTACCGCGCGCAGGGGCGGGGCCCGCCGGCGCACGACCTCTGACCCGCGCACGCCTCGGACGCCGCCGGAAGCGGCGGCGCGTCGTCCCCGCGGTTGCCCTGACTACGGCGCGCGTGGCGGAAACGCGCATCCCGCAGGTGCCGAGGCGCCGCGAGCACAGCCGCCGCCGGGAGCATGAGCCGCCGGTGCCTGTGTGAGATCTGCACCTGCGGGTAAGCAGCGGCCCGGCCGGCGGGGCGTGGGGCCGAGCAGGGCCCCGGAGACACCGCCCCGGAGGCCAAGGGGCGCGGCGGGACTGCCCCGCTCCCGGGGGCGCGGCTCCGCGGTGCAGACTCGCAGCCCGGGTGCGGCCCCGCGGCCGGTCGGGCCCGGCGGCCGGGGCTGGCGAGGGGGCTCTGGGCCGCAGAGAGCGCCCGGAGCGTGTCGGGAGGAGGGAGGGGAGGAGCAGGAGACCGAGAGCAGCTGCCCGGGTCGTCAGCCGTGTGAGGCGCGCCTCCACCCCAGCCGGACCGTCTTCCCGTCCACCGGGCGGCGCTCCGTCGGGGTCTGACTGCCGGGGAAGGTGGTTCTGCGCCCCGCAACCCAGCCATGCTCCGGGAGCCCCGCCTGACAACCTCCCGCCCCCTGTAAACAGTCTCCGTCCTCAGCTGCGCCGTTGGCCCGGGGATTCGATCACTATTTGCTAAAGAAATAACATGGGTGTGTTCATCGCTGCGCATTGGAATCCCCTCCGGAGGAAAACCACTTTTACCCTGGTGGTGGAAAGCAATTTTACCCCTCGTTTCATGATAAACGTCGCTTATAATTAATAACTAGATGTAGATTAAAAGAGAAATTAACATTTGAGAGAGGAATCTGAAAACTCTGATGTGAAGAAAATGGATTTTTTTTTTCTAGTCTTCATATCCTGCCTAAGTCGCTTTTCCATCCAGCCGTCAGGAAGTTCAGTCCTCATTATGTCGGAGGCGCCCCTTTCCTCCACAGTGTGTTGATTCGGGAAACTGAGGTTGCCAAGGCCACCTGCCCGCGCCCCTCCGGGCTCCCACCGAAACCGTTCCCGTGATTCCCTCACGGGCGGTGCTTTCAGGTCTGTTTGAGCTGTAAGAATCCGGCAAGGCTGGGAGCCGCTACTGCCGGGTCCACTCAGCCAGCTCTTGAGATCGGGCCACCTCCTGGGACACTGATAAAGTGCGGCATTTCCCCAACTCTTCTAAGGCAGCCCACCCCACCCCACCGTCATTTCCCTCCTTCCTCTCTCTGGGGGAATCTTGCCCTCTTCCCTCTTTTTCAGTCTGAGATCATCTGTTTCTTTGGGGCTCCGAAAGACAACTATCTTTCATCTCCAGAGGGCCACCTGATTTTCTCTCTTCCATGAATTGTTGTTTGTTTGTTTGTTTGTTTGAAAAGACAGGAAAATCCTGTTGACTTCAGGCTGCCAGCTTCCCTTCTCTGCCCTGCCAGAAGCCCTGCAATAAGGAAATACCTGCTTCAAATAAAGGAGGGAGAAAACGAAAACAAACTCAATAATATTTCTATACATTGCCCACTCTAGGAGAGTCAAGGTTGTCAAGGGACCTCTTCAGAGAACCAGCTTCGGCTACTTTTTCATCTTGCTGTTTGAATTTTTTTTTCATACGGTGCAACTAAATCTTTTCAAATGTCTGTTTGTTTGGCTGTATCAGTCAAGGCAACTATGCATCTCGTAACATTTTTCCCTGCAGGGTGTATTTATGTTGATCATGTGAGTTAAACTGTGAAGGAGTTATTTTATATTGGAAAACAAAGCTGGGGTGCCAGAAAATAATGGAGACTTCATCACAATCACTTGGGCTCGGGCGGTGCTTTCAGGTCTGTTTGAGCTGTAAGAATCCGGCAAGGCTGGGAGCCGCTACTGCCGGGTCCACCCAGCCAGCTCTTGAGATCGGGCCACCTCCTGGGACGCTGATAAAGTGCGGCATTTCCCCAACTCTTCTAAGGCAGCCCACCCCGCCACCCCACCGCCATTTCCCTCCTTCCTCTCTCTGGGGGAATCTTGCCCTCTTCCCTCTTTTTCAGTCTGAGATCATCTCTTTCTTTGGGGCTCTGAAGGACAACTATCTTTCATCTCCAGAGGGCCACCTGATTTTCTCTCTTCCATGAATTGTTGTTTGTTTGTTTCTTTGTTTGAAAAGACAGGAAGATCCTGTTGACTTCAGGCTGCCAGCTTCCCTTCTCTGCCCTGCCAGAAGCCCTGCAATAAGGAAATACCTGCTTCAAATAAAGGAGGGAGAAAAGGAAAACAAACTCATTAGTATTTCTATACATTGCCCATCTCTAGGAGGATCAAGATTGTTAAGGGACCTCTTCAGAGAACCAGCTTCGGCTTTTTCATCTTGCTGTTTGAATTTTTCTTTCATACGGTGCAACTAAATCTTTTCAAATGTCTGTTTCTTTGGCTGTATCAGTCAAGGCAACTATGCATCTCGTAACATTTTTCTCTGCAGTGTGTATTTACGTTGATCATGTGAGTTAAACTGAAGGAGTTATTTTATATTGGAAAACAAAGCTGGGGTGCTAGAAAATAATGGAGACTTCATAACAATCACTTGGCACTTGCCCAAAGCCTCTGTTTTCAGCTGCTCTTCCTGAACCCAGCGCCCCTGACTTTGAATTTTCTTGGGTAGCCTGTGACTCCAGCCCTTCACTCTTCCCTGCACTGTCCAGCTCCATCCAAGTAAAACAGCTGATTCTCTTTGCATTCCTCCTGGGGGTTCACTGAGTCCGGGTACCTTAGCTGGTTCTGATTCATCTACAGAAACAGGCATATTTTCAGATCCAGTGTTTCCTGGGCTTGTATTTGTCCTTACCACATAGCCTGGGGCCCCCAAGTAACACCAGACCTGAGAAGCTGACCTTATATTTCAAGGTTGTTGGGATCTTAGTATTTTTTGTTTGCTTGCTTGGGTTTTTTGTTCTGTTAAGAATTTTATCTTTTTCTGATTATGAAATATACATGAGGCATAATATAAAAAAGCAAGTAAAAAACTGTAATATAGTGAAAATCCCTCATAACCTTTCCCCACAGATAAGAAAAGTTCTTTAAGTCTCATTTTACATCTACATTTTTTAAAAAGATGGGTGTAGAATAATACCTATTATTCTACAACCTACTTTTTCACTGTTTACAACCTCTCTGTCTTCAATAGCCATGAATGACGCTCAGCCCCTTGCTCTTCAAGCACTGCATGCTGTCAGCTTATATGATGTATTGGTTAGGGTTCATAGTTATGGACAGTATAATCTACTCTGGCTAGTTTAGGCATAAAAGGATTTACCAATAAGTATATGTAGCTTACAGAACTGTTGGAAGAACTGAAGAAACAGTTTTCAGTATAAACTTTCAGGAAGAATTCCCAAAAATCTCACCACAGAGCTGGGTTACCAAGGCAGCCACTGCCTGTGTCCTACTCAGGGAAGTGCAGCAGAGCTGTAGGCTCCAGAACCACTTATCACTGCAGGTCAGGAAGCTGCCAGCTCGGGAAGCCAGCTTGCAAACGAGGATGCTGCCCGGCAACTGTTAGCTTCAGACTCTGTGACTGTACCACATTCTATGCAGTCAAAATGCATGTGCCGTGCCTCACTCCCTAGGTAGCTCTCCCAGAGGCAAAGTCTCATGTGAGTGTATCTGATACGGTAAACCTAAGTTGTATGTGGAACCTGCCTGCACGGGACTGTCATCAGAGCAAAACCTGTTTCTACCACATGAGAGAATATACCGTAATTTATTCATTGTTTTGGTAAACACCATTGCAGAATAAACAGGTTTTTGTTTTTGTTATTTTGTAAAACTGCTCTCAACTTAGAGATTCTGAGTTTATTGAAGGTCTCTGATTAAAATGTAATTATCACAAAATGTTTTTGAGGGTGAAAATAACGTTTCAGTTTACTTACCTTTGCACAGGCGACATCATTGTCCACATGGAACCACAAGGATTTACAAAACTTCTGGTGTGTCTTGCCCCACTTCAGAGCAAAACCTGTTTCTACCACATGAGGATATACCATAATTTATTCATTGTTTTTGTAAACACCATGGCAGAATAAACAGATTTTTGTTTTTGTTTTGTAGTAAAACTGCTCTTAACTTAGAGATTCTGAGTTTATTGAAGGTCTCTGATTAAAATGCAATTATCGCAAAATGTTTTTGAGGGTGAAAATAACGTTTCAGTTTACTTACCTTTGCACAGGCGACATCATTGTCCACATGGAACCACAAGGATTTACAAAACTTCTGGTGTGTCTTGCCCCACAACTGAATATTTGGAAAAATACCCCACGTATGGCAATGTTCTTCCACCTCAGAGCCTTAAACCCAAGCAAGAGCTGCAAGCATGCCGTGCGAGAATGGAAGGAGTAACAACATTTAAATAAATAGTGGGAAACTGTCGTCTTTACTTATTTTTCCTCTCAGTTCTTCTGGTCTTAATAAAGTTTTTTAACTCTCTAAGTTGAACTATTTAGTTGGTTTAAGCTGAACCAATTCAAGAAGCAAGAAACTAGTTAGAGTCAGAACTTGAGAAAAACAGAAAGGTGAGAAATAAGTTGGAATAACAAAAGGTGAAAAGGAAAAAGAGAAATAAATTCTATTAATTTTTTTAAATCTCCTAAAATCTCTATTTATCTGCTTTCCACTGTCACCATGACCCAGAGGAATGCAGTACCTTCCTAACTGTCCTGTCTGTATCTGCTCTAGATTTTGCATCTCTTCTCTGTTTTCTATGCTTTAACCTGCCAAGGTGATCTTTTTAAAATGCAGATCCAATCTTACCACCTCCCTGCTTACAAACACTTTTCCACTGTATTTACTACACACCTGGATCCTCACCCCAGTCCCTTCATGGTTGAGCCCCTACTTGCATCTCTCAATTATTTTTGCTGCAGTGCCCTCTGCACATTTTTATGCCTTCATCCCACAGGACGTTTTTCATTCTTGTAAGTACCAGGTTGCCAGCCTTCCAAATTACTGTTTCACCTGCCTCGAGTTTTTCCTCCTTCTCACCCTAGTTAGCACCCATTCAGCCTGTAGATTACAACTCTGTTAACACTCTGAAAGCCTTCTCTGACGCCTCGCCCAGTTTTCAGGCAGGGTAAAAGTCCCCTGTGTAAACTCTCAAGGCATCTTTCTGTTATTCAACATTAGACTAGTCTGTTTTAGCATTCCATGACAACAGGAACTATGTCTGTTCTTACCTCAACATTTCACTTCTGGAAACCTGGTACAATGCCTGCTAACACATAGAAGGCACTTAATCTTTATTCAGCGGGTGACTGACAAAGTCCTCCTCATCCTGGACTTAGCTTATTTTTTTAAATCTCTATCTTTGTCAATTCAGTGAGTTAATTATTCTCTTGACATGCACTCCTTATTCCAGGCACAATCTTAGGCCTTAAGTACAAAAAGATCAATGAATAGAGGTTCCTGCTTTCAAGGAATTCATACATCAGATTGCTATAATTTAGGGTTTTAAAAACACCCTGTAACAACCTCAGTTGTTAGTGTTCCATTTTCCCTTCATTTCAGTGCTTGTTATACTTACCCAGCAAAGGTGCAGCCTTCGGTGGCATCTCAGGCAGCCACGCAGTGACAGTGCCGTGGGGGTTCCAGTCCTGTGCATGCGACCCCACCGATGGGAAGGTTTTCCTTAGCCCTCAGACTTCAGAATCACCTACAAGGGCTGAAATTCCCCTTGGAGCAGATTCCAGGGCTCCCCCTAAGACAGTCAGTAGACGCCGGAGTGGATCCCAGGATCGTCATGTAGAACCAGCACCGCTGATGATTCTGTCGCCACAGACTCAGTGCAGTGGGTCGGGTACTGACTACGTGCTCCCTGGGGAGGATGCGGGACATAACAAAGGGCTCTGCATGTTCGCCTTGTGGGACTGATAGTCCAGAAACAAAACAGTAGGATAATTTTAGTAAATGAGCTGGAAAAATTGAACAATTGGTTTAGAGCAAATTGGAATGGTTGCTCTTTTCTCTCCACCTTAACTTCTTTCTTCCTTGATGCCTTAATGATTCAAAATGAAGATTTGAAAAAAAACTCACAATATTCATATTTATTGAATAAAGATTTTGCATTTAACTAGTTCTAAGTGTTAAAATCAGGACAGTCTAACCTGCCACATGTTTGTTTAAAAAGGCGATTGCTTTTCAATTCCGGGTCTCCTCAGTAGCCTTGAATAGCAAAAAGGAAGGAAGGAAGGTCCCAACTCCGAAAGGTCCAAACATATCAATAAAACTGAAGTTTCTATTTCTTAAATCATCTCTCCCTTTAGAAAAACACTGGATCTTTTCTTTGGATTTGGGGGAACTAGCAGTATTTCCAAAAGCGTATCTAAGGGCGTGGAATTTGCTTCATTCTCTCGGGTTGACTGTTGACTAGGCAGCAGAAAGCTGACTCATCTGTACAAAGAATAAAGTCAGCCTGTCCTTTTCTAAAATACGTCTGTAAAGAGCAGACGTCTGGACTTGTACAGACTTGATCCCTCACAGCTTTACAGTTGGAGTGCGCTTCAAGACTGGGAGTGACAGGAGTCTGCCCTGACTGTGCCTGGACAGGTCAGATGTTTGGGATGTAGCAGATGAATAGTGCGTTTGCCCTTTACTGCTTCTCCACAAAAACCTGCTTTGGGTTTGGAGGTATGCTCTCTAACACTTAACTAATCTAACTAGAGAAACTGAGATTTCTAAGCTTCTCTCTGTCCTCTTCCTGAGTTATCCACCCCTTGATTGCCTTTTAGCCTATTCCCTTCTAGCTGGCTTTGGGGAGAGCAAAGAACAACTCAGATGTCTTGAGAAGCAGAGGTATGTGATTTCTACTATTCATCCACTAGGTAAAGTTAATTAAGCACTTGTTAAGTGTCAGGCACTGTGCTGGGCAACTGGGATACAGTGTAAACATGATCTCTGCGCTTAACAGACACAGCGAAGGCGGTGATCATAAACACTCAAAATCAGTATAAAATTGCAACAGTGATACATATCTATGAAGGATAGGTACTAGGTCACTCAAGAACAGAAATAAGAGATTTGACTTAATTAGGGAAATGAGAAGAATAAGCTAAAACTGGAAGCATGTGAAGCAATTAACTGGATTAAGTGGCTAAGGAAGTGCACCCCGGGTGGAGAGTGGCATGTAGCGGGAAGGAGCACGGAAAGAAGAAGGGAAAGCAGGAGGAAATCAGCATGCACAGAGGCCAGTGAAGGGGGCCGTGCCGAGCCTCTGGACCACATTCAGCTTTTTCTATATCCTTAAAGTAGTAAGAACCCTTGAAGGCTTGTTTGTCTTTATAGGGAGATAACGTAAGGAGGGTAAAGAAGAGGATGTGAAAGAATTCCTTTGGGTCCAATGTGAGAAGATTGGAGAGAGGACATGAATGGGTGCTGGTAAAGGAGGCTAGGGGACTGGAGTTCAATGAGCTGCTATGAAAGCTTGGAATATTATAGCGGTGATGAGATAGAAGAAAGTGGTTAGATTTGAGAAATAGCAGGAGACAAAACTGAAGGAGTTGGTGATAGACTGGACACAGGAGGAAGGCAGGGTAGAAGGGTGAGTCCGGAGTTCCTGATTGTACCGCTGGAGGGTGGGGATGCCGTTCACTAAAAGGGAACAAGAAACGGGACCAGATTTATTACGGCAGTGGGAGGGGGGGTATTGTGAGTGTGATCATATGTGATCTTTGGCACATTAAGTTTTGAGGTGACATTGAGTATCCAAGAGGCCATTGTAAATACTGTGTGGAGCTCAGAAAGGAGGTCAGCGGAGATACAAATCTGAGTCATTTCCAGACAGTAATAGAAGCTGTGGGAGTAGAGGCGTCCTTAGGACTGGACACTGGATGCGAAGAGGACAGCGTGCTGGCCCAAGTGTTGAGTGAATCCAGCATTTGGTAGCTGAGTAGAGGGGAGGCTGCCCAGAAGTCTGAGAGGAAATGATCAGGGAGGCAGGAAAATAACTTCCTGGGAATGGGTGGGCGGTGATGGCAGTTACTGCTGGAGACGTCAGGTACGACGAGGGCTAAACATGTCTGGTTAGAGTCTGTGAAGGTCACCGTGAGCCTGCAAGCGGCAGTGGAGAAGTTCAGGGGGTGGCAGTGGGTTGGTGGAGATAAAAAGGGGGGGTCAATGGGTAAGAAGTCTGCTGTGACCAGAAGGCATTCAGTGAGTTTCATTCTGTTGGAGCTTTGGACACACAGACATACTGTTTACTACAGGGAGGCTGAAGCAAATCACAACATAAGTGACAGTCAATAGAGTCGGCAAGAAGAAAAGCAGTTTTGAAGACTCACAGTAGTAACAGTGGTAGCTACTGTACTTACTGGGTACCAAGCACTCGTGTATGTGCGTGTGCACCAGTGCATATGTCAGTCCTTATAGCAACCCTAGCAGGTAGATAATGTCATTGTCCTATTTTATACATAAGGAAGCTGGGGCATACACAAGTTAACCAAGCTGTCCAGGCCACACATCAAGTGAATCACAGAGCAGGCCTGGACCCAGGCAGTCTGATCGGCCAAAGTCCATGGTCTGCAGCCTGCCAGCCAGCCTCCGTGTCTGCAGAAGCACCTCCATCACAGGTCATGTCAGGCCCAGGGCAGCTGCGTTTCCGTGTGGCTTCCACCCTTGCCAACGGCTTCTGCAGGATTCAAAGATGAATAAGACTCATAGCCATACTATGCATGTGATTTATGTCTAAAGGCCAGAGTTTAGATAAATTATTTACTTAGTTGATTATTTAAGGATGAGCAGGACGACAGCATGACTCCATAAGAAGAGAGCACGCCCAAGTGCTTTTACTAGAATCTTCAAGTAGGATAAATAAGGATTTTGACAAATAGACCCAGAGGATATATTTAAAATTTTTTTCAGATTCATTTCACCTGCAATTTCCTTCCAGGTTAGAAAAAAGGTCAGTTACTTGAAGATTTTATTTATGTAAGTCCCAATTAACTGAGGATCCATTATAATGATGTTTTGGAAACCAGGATTTTTAACATATTTTTTTTCTTAAGAAATTTGGTCACTGAATAGGACATAGAATAATTTACTTACCTCTTTCTAGTAGCTTATCAGCTATCACCATTTTAATATCTTCTTAGACTTTTCAAGTTAAAGACCTTGCAGATTTCAATATTCCATTGAAATAATTAGAAATAAAGAACCTGTGAGACTATGTTTCAAATTTATGTATTTCAGGTCGGATTATCGTCCTTATGAAATAGTCAAACAGCCTCGCCATGTACCAGAAGAATATAAACCAAAGCAGGGTGAGATTGATCTTGGCACTACCTACAAACGGGATTTTAATTCTTATAAAGTACAGCCTGTGGCAATAGTCCGGCCTTTGGAGAGACAACAAGTTAAAAAAGGAACGTTGGACACGGTCCCAACCTATAAAGGTAACTTGCCATTTCAAAACTAAAGGAGCCAGAAAGCTGAAGCTCACCTCCAGCTTTGGCATCTGACATCAAATCATAATTTTGGTGTGTTGCCCAACTTAGCCCTCATGGCTTAGGAAAAACTTTTTTCTCTTTGGTCAAAATAGCATTGCCTAGTGAAAAAAGGACCATTTGCCTGACTGAGAGTTAGGAGACCTGGATTCCGGCCCGAATTCAGCCACTTAAGTAGTTTTTTCTGTCTCAAAACATAAAAACAAAGATGCCAGACAGCAAGCTTTTTGTCACCTTGTGGCACATCGAGTTGCCACTGTTCCTGTCCCTCCATCCCAGAATCAGCTGAAACTCTACTGAACATACTAGAGTCTTTGAGAAGGTCAGATAAATAGCAGCCGTCTTCACCATTCCAGTCATGAGCCAACTGGTAGAGTCAGGGAGTCAGCAGGTGGAGCATCTGATAGAGGCTAGGGTGGAGGACAAAGCTTGTATTTGTTTAGCAAATGGTCCTGGTACTGAACCTCTGAATAAGATAGGCTTATCTGCCCAGTGATGGACGCTGTTAGAGCACCATGTAGGGAACCTGTTCCTCTAGGACTCCCAGCGTGGGAGAGGGGTGAGAATACCCTCTCCCTGCTGGCCACTGACTCAGGAGGAAGGGGCTGGATAATGGATACCAGTTTCTTTCCAAAAATCAATCAGATTTTGAAATACTCTTTTACTTTTGGGGGATGGGTGTCTTTGTTTTTAAAGTCAGGTCATCTTGTTAGTACACATTATTTCTGTATTATTTTTTGTTAATAATATGATTGCATGTTTAGGCTCATACCCTTTTCATTAGTTATACAATATAGCTGAATGGGTATGTCCTAACATAAAACCCTCTCGTAAGAGTGGGTTTTACAATAAAAGTATTTATTTATACCTTAAATAGGTAATAGCTGAATGCATACTTTTTCTTCAGCTGTCATCCTTACCAGTTAAGTGGGTAAGTAAAATATATAAGAAAATATAATAAAGAAAGAATGTTCTTTGTGGTGTTTAAAGCTGTGAGTATATAAGATACTACACAAGGAACAGATTTTGAAGATAATGCATATAGTGAGCAAGCATATTGTTAAAACCCAACGTAGCATATAATAATTGTTAAGATATATGTTTATTGGTATGCAAAGGATATAATGTATTGCATAATAATTTGACATAAAAGATAGATGAAAATGACTGTCCTGTGTCTTTTAAATAATCATAGAAAAGTTTTTACTTTTTTCCTACAAGATGTAAAATTATCAGTAATATTGATACTCCCTGATGCTGTGACCATTTACATGTAACAGACACACACACACACACCATTAGTTCTGGCTTCTCATTACCTGGCTTCCCCTGAATCCCATACTTGCACTCCCACAATCCAATGCGGAGGATTCCTGGTCCCCTCAGGCCTTCTTGCTCCTGACGTCTCCTAGAAGGAAAGGTTATTCTTGTGTTTCCAGGTCTGCAGGGCATGAGACAACCAACGCTAAGGGCCAAGGCAGTACCTATTGTTCTCTGTGAAGATTACACCGCAGGTTTTGTACATGCCGCCTCAAGGACAGGTCTGTAGCTGAACAGGAATTACAGTGGGAGGAGACTCTCACTGTTCACTAGAATTAAAGAGCAGAGGCGGGCAGAAAGGGACTGATAAAGAAAAGACCTGCAAGATGGTCAGAAGGGGGACATTGAGATTCGGAAGGTATGGTTCTATGAAAATGGCGACTCTTAGACATGTGTCTGTCTCCAGCAGCCTCAGTTCAGAAATTCATTCATATTAAAATACAGCTATTGAAAACAGGTCAGGATTTGACCTGATGAATATGTTTCAGGGATTACTGTGCCCTGTGCAAGGCACGGTAGGGAACACAGAGGTCTGCATTCAGCATGGCTCTTGACATTTAGGAACTTTACAGTTGAGTTGAGAAAAGGAGTAATAAAGCATGAAAAATTAAATAGCCATACTGGAAATAAATAATGTATCACAAGAAGGGGATAATGCACTAGAAAATTAATGGAACAATTAGTTCTTCAAAAATTGAGACTGAAAAAATTATTACTTCAGACTAGCTTGGGAATATATTAGAGACTAGTATTCATATATAGAAAGAGGAAGGACATCCTAAAAACTAGAATGAAATGAGAAAAAAAACAGAGCCAGAAAAATAAACATGGTGGAAACACAGGATTTTAGGATCTGAGACACTGGGGTATAATTCCATAAATGTAAGTGAGATCAGATTGTGAGGCCTTGATTGCCAATTTGAGGCACTCAGCATTTTTCTTGTAGCCACAAAATTTTTTGAGGACTGCTACTAGGTAGAAGATACATGGCAAAAGCCATTACTTCCACGGCAAGATCTTTAAACATATGTACATTTTTAAAATTTTTAAAATCTTTTTAATGACAGCAGACAGCTGTGGAAGCAAAGAACTAAAATTCCAGAAAGGGAGGAGTCCTTCCTAGTGGAACTGAGATGGCCAGGTGCTTACTTCCCTGGGAGCATTTGAAGTCCAGACCCAGGCTGAAGATTGGGCTTGGCCTAAGCAGAGAGACAGAGAAAAAGGAAACCAGTGGAGCACCTGACGTGTGGGCTGGTTGGCATCTGCTAAGTCCCCCAGATGCACGGCTGGCTTTCCTTGTGGGATGTTTCCTGAGTGTTAAAGAGGCATGGTGGGTGCGGAGACTGGCACAGAAAGATCCCACAGAAATATTCCATAGCCTCACTTGGCAATTGTTGTTTAGGAGGTGCTTAGGTGCTCTAGTCCCGCTAGAATGAGGGCTCTGCCGCAGGCACACACAGTTCCTGGCCTTGAGACACTTGCAACTGGAGGAAGACAATGTCTAACGGTGCCCCTGAGCACCAATGCAGCCCAGTTCCTGGTTGGATCAAGGTGGTCTGCCCCAAATCCTATCTGCGTAACAGGAAACAGCAAGACGTCCCCGACTGAAAATAATGCTTTGGTTTACATGGTTTTCTTATATCCACGGTTTTCTTATATGATATCCATGATATAGTAAAACATTACACCTATGAAGAACCAGGAATATTTGAAGAGGTAATGGTCAAGAAATTTCCAAAACTGATTAAAGAATAAGGCCACAGATTCAAGAAACTCAGTAAACCCCCAATAAGTAAACAAAGAACACCACACCTAGGCAACTGTTGTCAAGCTTTTAAAGTCAAAGTAAAGACACCTGAAAGTAGTAAGAGAAAAACTACATATTCCTTTCAAAAAGAAAAATTAGAAGTATACTTAACTTTTCATCAGAAATTATGGAAGATAGAAGATAGTGGAATGACATCTTTAAGGTGCTGAAAGGAAAAAAAAAA